AAAAGGTGGCTCTTAATCTTTAAGGGTCACCATGCAGACCCCACGTTCATGTCCACGCCCTTCGAAATGCAAGTAAACAACACCATTGAGTCCATCAGACACGAAAGATTCAAAGTCAGAAACAGTGCATTCAGAATGAAAGTTTGTTGGTTTCCAAAATGAGAATGGAACCAAAGTTGCTAACGCGCCTTCCGATTTGTTCCGATCGTCACAACCAAAAACAATTGGTGGATTGCCATCTATGCATGCATCTTCCCTTCCCCCTTTAAAAGGAATTAACTCCAATGCAGCAAGGCCGTCGTCATTGAGGTAGGGTGAAAGGTCTCCAACATTAAAAGTAGCATGGACTCCATAATCCCCTGGAAGTTTGATTTTATAAGCACTATCATTCACTTGTGTCACCACCCTGTAAGGACCTTCAGTTCTTGGCATCACTTTGTTTTTGCATTTATTCGGAAAATGCTTTTTCCTTAAGTGCACCCACACTAAATCACCATCAGAGAAAACTCGAGGCTTCTTATGCTTGTTGGACTTTTGCTCGTAAACTGCATTGATAGCCTAAATGCGATCATGGATTTATTTGTACAGTTTTATCATTGTTGTGATAAGTTTCTTACTTGGTTCCTTCTCCGTGAGGGGTGGAAATTAAGGGCCTGAGAATCACAACAAAGAAAACAAGACCGTTAGTCGTCGCCCGGGAGGTTGTCCCGGAATGATGCTCTGATGATCAAGTCAGTTCAACGTTCTGATGAGAGTGCGAGAAAGTAAGAGACTAAGGGTTAATGTTGAATGTTGGTCCCTTATCTTGGAGGAGAAGGGACCTTTTTATACCTGAAATCGGGGGAACAAAACCCTGACCATATCTTCTACTTTTTAAGGTCTGGAAGGGACATGCAGCTTCCGATTGGTAGATCGTACTCCATGAATGGTTGTTTGTTATTAGTGTAGGCTTTCCAGGGGATTAGCATCCTAAGAGTTACACTTGTCGCTCTGGAGGACGACTGGTACTATTTTGTCTTGACGCTGGCTTTGGCGCTTGGGCACCAAGAAATGAACATGGGGTGGTGAGGGCGAGGGCGAGGACACGGCGTTAGGCGTACACATACTTTTGCCCAGGCCGTCTATTGAATTGACGGTTCCGTTATATACCTGATGTATTCCTAATGGGATACATCAACAAGTCCCCTAGGCTAGTAGACATCAGCGTTCGCTCAAGGTAGTTGAGTTGTTCTAGCTTGAATCTGGACACGCGTTCGGTGGGGATGGCTTTTTGATGGCTGCTGACATGACGAAGGCGCTTTTCATCATTGCAACCGGTTGGACTTCCCGCCTGCATATAAAACTTCTCTTATTTGAGTCGAACTTCCTTTTTCTGGTTCTTTTCGCTTCTCCTGCTTCTTTTCCTTTTCTCTTCCTGTTTCTACTCTTTAACGGGCCATGGATGACTTGAATACCGAAATCGTTCATTCTTCAAGTGATTTTACTGCTTTTCAAGAGCAATTTGGTTTTCTTCCTGAGCACGATGTGGAGTATCCTCGAAAGGGGGCGATAATTTCTCGCCCACCAGAGGGGAAGATCGGGGTCCCTATTCCGATCTTCGAGGCTAGTTTGAGGCTGCTGACGATGGACTTTTTTGACGAGATAATACACCAATATGGCTTTCGTGTGGACGACCTGAGTCCCAACGTTGTCAAAAAAATTGTTGGCTTTGAACTCGTCTGTCGGACCCTTGGAGTTTTGCCGCAATTTTGGGCATTCAAAGCTTTCTTCAATTCTTCCACTCAATCCGGTGTTCGTACGTTTTCCCAGAGGCAGGGTGTTCATGCCTTCATCATCAACCAAAAAGCTTCGAAGAAGAACTGGCAAGATCGGTGGCTTTGGATGAATCGCAACCTTGTGGTTTTTGGTTATCCTCGCTTGACTAATTTTTCCGATCGAGTGTCGGAATTGTTTGGGGCATGCGCCACTGTGGCGTAGACACTGAAGACCATTTGTGTTAATGGAGAGGATTGGGAAGATCATATGCTGGCTGTGGTTGGGATGAGCGTTGCTTGGAGGGCCCGGGAGATGATGCCTCAGTTCTACATTGAGAAAGACGATGCGTGCCTTTCCTTCCCCCTCCTTCTTGGATCATTATTTCCTTTTGTTTTAAGAACTATGTTTGCTTTTCTCTTGTTTGCAGGTCATGAGAGGATCCTTCCCTTTGATATGGTGCTGAGGGGATGCTTTCGGGGCACCTTCCAGTATTAGGAAGTGCCCTTGGTTGAAACGATCCCTCCGCCGGTCGGTCGTGACCGTGATCTGGCCCTTGCCGATCCTCTTGTTGTGTCTCTGCTCGGGTGTGATCCTCCCGTTGTTCAGGTGTTGGTTGATACGCCTGTTGGTGGTGTTTCATGTGAAGACCCAGTACCTTCTGATACGGAGGATGAGGAGGCGTTGATCGGGTTGACTCGGTGTAACACCTGTGTAGCTTCCAAACGGCGGCTTTCCTGGCTGGATTCCCCACTTGTGGAGTATGCTGATGCCAACTCCTCTGGTTGGCACTTACTAAAGAGGCGAAACGTGGACTTCCTTCTGGGAGAAGCCACAGTGGTGGTTGACATCCCCGATGATGACACTCTGAAATAGTCGGAGGAGATGAGGGAAGGGCGACTGAACTGCCCTGTGAACCCAAAAAAGAGCAGGTGGAGAATTCTGCTCTTGGTGAGGATGTTCTCGGTGTTGACTCAAGCCTTGTTTGTGAAGGTGTTCCAGACCCCAAGATCCCACTCTTGGCTGGGGACAACATTGTCGAGGGTTCTGCTTCTACTCCTCCGGCAACGCCGACCATATATGTGCCTGGATGAGGGATAATCTGTGAGTCTCTCCTTTTACAGCATGTGGCAGCGTATGATAGGGATTGCCATGCCTTTCCCCCCGCTACCATCAAGGCATTGGTGTTTCTCTCTAATTCCCACCTTTCAAACAGCCTTTTATACGCAGCTGCTCAGGTTGGTTCATATATGACGGTGACTGCCTCTCGCCTTCACTGGGGCAGTTCTAGTTCTAGTGAGCTAGCATCAGTTAAGGCTGAGCGGGATGAGCTGAGGGCGAGGTTGCTGGAGTTAGAGGGGGAAAGCGGTCATTCATGGAGCGTTAAGATCTTTTGGCGGGGGAGAAGGCTTCTTTGGAGGACCAAGTGGCTACCCTGGAAGGGTCAGTGGAGCGCTTTTCTCAGTGGATCGAGGTCTTGGTGGAGGAGAAGAAGGTACTGGAGGTCTAGGTAGAGTGTTCTCACAGGAGGCTGGAGGAGGAGGTTGCGAAGAGGAAGGTTGCAGAGGAGAACTTAGGTTGGTTGCTTCAGAAAGGTGTTGTTCAGGTGGTGGATAAGGTTATTGAGAGTATTGAATTTGCATTCGGGGTGAAGCGGATGAAGATGGCATGCGTGGCTTCCGGCGTGGAGAACGACAAGCAGGTGATTCGGAGCAAGTTGCTACCGTAAATTCTGTCTCTGGGGAACCGGACGCTACTGCGGTGCATGCTCAGGCGATGTATGATGCTATAAAATCTTTCATGGAGACAGATTTTGCCTCCTTCCTTCGCCTGGGTGAGCTGGACATAGGGGGTCTTCCTCAGATGTGTGATGATCCTGACTCGGAGGAAGGCCATTCTGAAGGTGGTGTTTCTCACGCTGGACCTTCCTCTGCCCCTAGTAACTAATGGTTTTTACACTTTGTTACTGTTTGATGTTGGATATAATATTTGCATCCTCATGGTGCTTGTCGAACAATTTTTAGAACAATGTTTGGTTGTCTTTTTTGGCCCTGCATGGTCGTTTTAAAGTCCTGAGGGTTGTTCGGGTTAAGCAATGTGTGCTTTGTGTTTTTTTTGTGTATGTTAAGTTTTCTTGTGGTTTATCGCGTTTCTCTCCCCCTTTTTGTCATCTTGGATGGTTTTTGTTGGCCAACCTTGGTTTGGATTTTCTCAGAGGTCAGCGTTGGCCTTTGAGCGTCTTGGTCATGTTTATTGTTTACTTAACCGGATTTGGGGGGGGCAGAGCATTGGTTCTGACGGGCTCGACGCTCCCCCTCAGGTTAGCCTCTGTTGGTCGAGGCTTTGGTTAGTCTATAGGTGCGAACTCTGGCTGGTTTGTTTCGTTAGGATTTTTTCCAAGCTGAAAGCTTTCGCTTTGGGGCTTTGTTCTAAGCCTTGGGTCAAGGGGAGTTGTACTCCGGCCTTAGTCGTTTAAGCAAGATCGGGGTTGTTACCTTGGGATCTAAGAGCTTAGGCATTATCATTTCGAGGGAAAGGTTATGATCCTTTAAGGCCTCTTACTTGTCGTGATCAGGATTTGTAGTTCTCATGACCTTGCTAACATGATTGTTAGGGATAAATGGTAAGCTCTTGAGGCCTACGTTTGTGCTTTTCTCATTGGTTTTGTGTTGGGTGGCACGGGTGATCAATCCGTTTTTATTTTTCATTTGTATGAAAGTGTGTTGGTACTCGTTCGCTACAAATTTTCTTTTCATTGCAATTTTTTTGGGTGTGCCGTAGAGGCATCTACATTGTCAGATAGGTATCGGAGGTCCGATAACTTTTTCTATTCTAGATTTAGCTCTCGATCTGACTATTTGGGGTGTGATTATCTGTTAGGAGTTTCATCACTTGGCCCCTTCCGGCTATTGGCTTGGGATCAGGGGCCCCCAAGTCATTGGGATGAATTCTCCTTCTTGGTCTTCCTTAGCTTGTGTCCTTCGGCGGCTCAGATGTGCAAGCTTTCCAACGTTCATGCTCGTGTGAGAGCTATCATTAGTTGATTCTGGTTCGGCCATCTTTCGGAAGATGATTTTCAGTTTCCTCCATTCGTCGGTTTTGTCCGCTTTGTTATCATTCTTGAGTGGTTTTCCTCCTTCTGCATGACTTTTTTGTTGGCGGATCTGTTTTCTGTAAGGTAACTGACTTGATGGCACCCTGGGGGAAACCTCTGCCAGCTGTGGATTCATATGGTTGTAGTGGGTTTCCTATTTATGTTCTCTTTTTTTGAGGTGGTTGCCTATCCTTTCTTCCCCGGTACCAACGGCTCCTTGTTCGTGCCTCCCATCAAGTTCTGTGACTTTGCTCGTGTGCTCCTTCGTTTCCTTCTTTTCCATATCATGTGCCCTCGCTGCCATGAGACGTGCGGGCATGCTCAGTGACGTCCAACCTCCTTTGGTATTCATGAGGACGATCCTTGATGGCTCTGGAGTGGTGGTGTTGTTGCTATCGCGCCCTCCGCCCCCGGGCTGTTCGTTAGGGATTGGCGTCATTTCCTCTCGTTTTGAGTGTGGATGGTTGTTTTTTTGCGCTTGAATGTGTGGGAGTTAGCTATCGTCATGCGCCACTTTCTTGGGATGTGTGCAGTGGCCCAGGCGCGACCGCTCGAAGTGGTTTTGCTCGTGTGTTTAGAGCTTTCTCTGTCTCTGAGCCATTTTTCGTTCTGAACTTGACTGTACCATGTATTTTTGACAAGATGGCTTGTATCCGGAATAGAGCAGGTCACCCTAGGATCATATCATCTTCGGATTTGTGTTTAACCACTGAGAACTCGATTATCCTTGTTACCCTTTCCTTTCCGTCGTGGCTGAGTAGTGTCAACGGAGATTTATAGTCTTGAGTGGCCATAATTTGTGTCCCGTGAAGCCGATGAGTAGGGCTCGGGTTGGTGGTCTTAGGCTTTTCTTCTAGGATGGCGGGAGTCACTCGAGGCAGTGCTCGTAGAGGATGTCGATGCTGCTACCTCCGTCGACCAGGACGCGCCAGATCTGATGCTAATATATGAAGGATGGGATTACGATTGGATCTGTGGGGTCCCAGTTGGGCGCTCGTGGGTCTTCTGTTGAGAAACTTATGTTGAGAGTATCGCCGGGTAGGATGTCGGTGCCATCAGTTGGCAGTCGACGCCTGGCTCTGTTCCCGGGCTTGCGATTGCGAAGATTTCTTCCTTTTTTATTGGTTGTTTGTTCGTTTCCTTCCGGGTTCTCCCGTCCTTCCGTTCAGGTTTGAACTTTGACCATAGAGTCTTTGCGATTTCTGTTAGGTCTCCACTCAGTCGCTTGTCTTCTACTTGTTTTTTGAGGATCATGCACTCTCCGGTGTCACGGGTTTTGCTCTTGTGATATTCGCAATATTTGCTTTTCTCTTTCTCTGTTTGCTGGGGGGGGGGGGTTTCCACCACGTGCACATGCATCTTATGGCTCCTTGGTTCATCTTTAACAAATGGGCAGAACCTACAAGATGAGTGTCTCGAATGTCTGTGGTGCTTATCATGGCTTCCATCGCTGCGCTCCTTATGGCTATGACGGTAGTGGGAGCTGGTTATTTCTTGTTTGAGGTAAGCGTTTGCTACAGCTAATAATCTGGCTTGTTTTTGTTCTTCTCTTTCAATCTGCCTGAGGTATTTTTTGACCCTGTATTTGAGCTCGTCCCTGGACTTTGGCACTGATCCTTGCATTTTCCATGATAGGGGGCCTGGGAGTAGCCCTTGGGCGAAGGCGCCCTTGACTAGAAATTCTTCGTGGCCAGTAACGCTCAGGGTTGCTAGGGTAAACCGATCATAGTATTCGCGGATGCATTCTCCCTCTTTTTGCTTGCATGCTATGATAGAGGTGGCATTTCCTTTGACTTTCCTTAATTGCATGAAGTTGTGGAGGAAAAGGTATCTCAATTGTTCGAAGCTGGAGATACTTCCCGGGCGTAGTGCCTTGAACCATTTGCTACCATTTCCCAATAGTGTGACCGGGAAGTAGGTGCAAGTGAATCTATTGTCCATCTGGAAGGATGCCATCGTCCACTCATAGGTATCTATGCGTTCGTCAGGATCCGTCATGCCGTCATACTTTGGGATATTTGGTATCATGGCGGAATGCGATATTTCATACTGTAATAGCTCTTGGTAGAATGCCGAGCTGATGCTTATTACGGGGTTGTTCATATGTGGGTAGTTGAGTGGTCTGCCGGTCATCACCTGATGTGCGTAGTATGGGCTGTTGTACCTTTGACCAAACTCATAATGGTACCCGTGGTTATACATGTTCTCTTGAGGCATATACGATGCCTACATGGCGTACGCGTCCATTAGCTGATTTGTTTGCAGATTCGACTTCGTTAGCCCCGTAGCTTGTGCGTTCATCCCCTGTGTTGGCTTGCTTTAACTGTTGTGGGTTTGTGTCTATGTGTGAGGGTACACGCCTTCGTAGTGGTATGAATATGGGTTGAACAGTGGTTGTTGGGCGAATAATGGGATATGTGACATGACGGCAATTGGAGAAGGTTGGTGGCCTGCATGTGGTGCGGCTGACAGAATGGTGCCTGGGGACCAAGCGCTTGCCCCTGCCTACCGTGTCGATGGTGTTAGTCGATTTGCTGTTTTTTGCAATTGGGTGTTCGACGCTCTTTGAGGCACTGTGGTGGTAGTTGTGGCTGGTTGTTCTGTTTGACGGGTGGCAGTCGCCATAAGCTAGCAATGAACTCCTCCGTGGAGTCAACCAGTGGTGTCGTTGGTGCCTGTGTGAGCGGCTATCCCTCCAGTGTCGACGGACCACTTCTGTCAAGTGACTGCATTGGTCTCACCAGGCTATTATTGTCGCCTTCCTGCTGTATTAGTCCTTTATCTGTCATTTCCGACGCCTGGTGTTGCGAAGTGTGTTGTGTCGTACTATGTGTACGTCCGGATGGCGCCAACTATTTTGATATGTCTCCGAATCGGTTCCTTCTCCATGTGGGGTGTAAATTAAGCGCCTGAGAATCACAACAAAGAAAACAAAACTATCAGTCGTTCCCCGAGAGGTAGTCACGGAACTATGCTCTGACGACCAAGTCAGTTCAAGGTTCTGATGAGAGTGCGAGAAAGTATGAGACTAAGGGTTAATATTGAATGTTGGTCCCTTCTCTTGGAGGAGAAGGGGCCTTTTTATACCTGAAATCGGGGGAACAGAACCCCGACCATATCTTCTACTTTTTCAGGTATGGCAGGGATAGACGGCTTCCGATTGGTAGATCGTGATCCATGAGTGGCTATTTGTTATTGGTGCAGGCTTTCCAAGGGATTAGCGTCTTGAGCGTTAAACCTGTCGCTCTGGAGGACGACTGGTACTATTTTTTCTTGATGCTGGCTTTGGCACTTGGGCGCCAAGAAATGAACATGGGATGGTGAAGGGCGAGGGCAAGGATGCGGAGTTAGGCGTACACAGACTTTTGCCCAGACCGTCTATTGAATTGACGGTTCCGTTATACTTGACGTATTCCTGATGGGATACGTCAACAACCATGGAATTTTACTTCTCAACAACATCCTTATCAACTAATTCCTCCTTTGGTAATGAAATAAGATCCAAAGGCAGGTGTGGGTTAACACCGTAAACAACTTCGAATGGAGAGTGACCAGTAGTAACAGTAAGAGAACGATTGTAGGCAAATTCGGCATCAGCAAGCTTTAAGTACCAATCTTTCTGTATCTTTCTTACCAATCCTCTCAGCAATGATCCCAAAGTCCTGTTCTTCACCTTAGTTTGGCCATCGGTTGTGGGTGATGCGACGTGCTAAACGACAACTTCATACCCACCTTCCTCCACAGTGTTCCAGAAAAACTCAAAAATTTGGAATCCGATCCAAAACGATTATTTTCGGAATCCTATGAAATCACACAATTTCCCCAAAATACAAATCCGCCACCTTGCTTGCAACGTCCGTATTGTGACAAGCCATGAAATACGCCATCTATGCATGCATACATGCATCATCCCCTCCCTTTTTAACGAGAATTGATCCCAATTCAGCAAGGCCATCGTCATCGAGGTAGGGTGAAAGGTCTCCAACATTAAAAGTAGCATGGACTCCGTACTCCCTTATAAGTTTGATTTTATAAGCATTGTCATTCACTCGTGCCACCACCTTGTAAATACCTTCAGTTCTTGGCATCAATTTTGTAACATTGTGATTTTTCACCCAATTTTTTTAAAGTTCAAATACCTTTTAATAGAATATGTTGTGAAATACTTATTATGATTATTTAAAAAACATCACCAATGTTACTTTCATATCAAAACAAACCCATCAAGATTTAAAGTTCACAAAAACATAATGATGAAAACCCAACATGTCCAAATGGTATCATAACTAAATATACTAAATAAAACTACCCAATGGTTCCCATCCTCACCCAAGCATCATGTCAAGCTACCTGTTCCAATACACAAAAACCAACAAGCAAAGAACAAGTGTTAGCATAAGCTAAGTGAGTCAATTACAGTACAGTGTTAAGAGAACACACATATCATAGATGGATTCACACAAAACATCCACACACAGTCAAAGACTCACAAGCAAGACATAATGACATTACACCGTATAACAAACACAGGTTTAGCTCAATTTATTTTAATTCTTCTTTTAGTTCTTCTTTTATTAGTTACTCTCCTCAACTCCGTTGTAACTAATTTTATTTTATCGATTCACCACTTGTATATTAATATATAATATTTTGTTTCTCCACTCACCATCATTGTAATTATTAAAGTAATGGCTCCTAGTTAGGGTCTATCTACTCACCGCAAACCCCCAAGGCAAATACCATGTTCGCTACTAACATTACCGACACGACCCAATACACTAGATGAGGCGGGACTCTCACCCATAATCATTGCCCCCGGTGTGTTGCGTTTGCTACTCCGACTTTGCACATATGTATACATGTGTTGTCGTTAAGGATTGGTACGAGTGGTGCCAATTCTATCAAGTTACACCGCCTAATTCCCACGTGGTGTTTGTACAGACATTCCATCAATCGTCAACACCACTCCAGTCCTGGTATACCAAGGTGCACCAGGACCATGTCCTGAGTGGTTGTCTAGAAAAACCATTCGGCGTCAAAGTTGGCTTAAGCTCTTTATCCTATAGGTATCTTTCAACTCACAAGGCCATAATATTATCCGGATAAGGTACACACCTAAGTCTAGGTTACTACCCTTAGCTCCGCTTGTGTATTCCCCTTTCAATTTAATATTAATTAATTAATTAATTAAGGAGTTACACCATTCTCCTTCTTCAAGTAATCATGTAAGTTTTCTAAATTTACTTTATTAACACATTACCTCTTTAAGGGTTCATTCCATGCGAACATGTAATTTTATGCAGTTATTACATTTTACATCACACACCACTTTCATCCACAACACTTCTATAACGATTATACAACACTAGAATTCTTATCCTAAAACATTTTAATCAAATATTTTCAAACAAGTAGTGACATGCTCACAACACTCCATCT